ATGGAGAGTTTTTGGCCAGGCTCAGGTGGACCTGTTTGCGACTCGAGAGACATCGCACTGTCCCCTCTGGTTCTTTCTCACTCATCCAGCTACACTGGGACTGGATGCCATGGTACAGACATGGCCGAGGCTTCATCTGTACGCCTTTCCACCGATCGCTCTGCTCCCGGGAGTTCTGGAGAGAGTGCGCCGGGGCGGGGTCCGTCTTCTGCTAGTAGCACCTTTTTGGCCGGGCCGAGTATGGTTCTCGGGCCTGATTTCTCTCCTCGACGGCACTCCATGGGAGATTCCCGTCAGGAGAGATCTCCTCTCACAGGCGGAGGGTACATTCATCCAACCCTGCCCAGAGCTGTGGAAGTTGTGGGTGTGGCCCCTGAGGGGGCACAACTCATAGCTTCCGGTCTCTCAACCGAGGTTGTTGAGACCATTCTCCAATCCAGAGCACCCTCAACGAGGAAACTGTATGTCTTGAAGTGGAAACTTTTCACTTCTTGGTGCGGAGAATCATCCACCCCCGCCCGGAGCTCTGGAAGTTGTGGGTGTGGCCCTTGAGGGGGCACAGCTAATAGCTTCCGGTCTCTCAACCGAGGTTGTTGAGACCATCCTCCAATCCAGAGCTCCCTCAACGAGGAAACTGTATGCCTTGAAGTGGAAATTTTTTACTTCTTGGGGCGGAGACCGCCAGCTTGACCCAGTTAACTGCCCGGTTGGTACAGTACCACGGTGCGCTGACGCTGAGGTCTCCGGTATGATCTCGTGTCCCCACGTGGAACCTGGCTGTGGTGCTAGAAGCTCTCTGTAGGCTTCCCTTCGAGCCTATCTCTGATCTCTGACCTCCAAGGCCTTCTTGGAAGGTGTCTCGATGCAGGAAATCTGCGACGCTGCGGGATGGTCCACGCCCCTAACCTTTGTCAGGTTCTATGGCCTAGATATGCGAGCCACTCCCGGCTATGGTTCCTCGAGGGAATGAGACACTGCGTCTCAGGGCCATACTTCCGGCATCTCTGCCAGCGCTTGCTTCATTCCTAGAAGCTGACGCTGGTTCCACCGCACGTGCTTTTATAGCTTCCTGGTCATTACGTCACCCGCCCGTGACGTCTCGCCCATCTATTGGACTGATTACACACGGGGTTCAGAGCAGGTGACGCTGAAGGGCATTCCCAAAGCGTCCTCCGACGCAGCATCTCGTACCCTCGAGGAACCATGGTTACATGCGTAACCTGAGACGTTATGTCAGTTATGTACTGAGGAAAACACAAAGTCTCAAATGCATTAAACAGCACAAATATATTCGCTGTTTGTCATGGTGGATCAATTTTATCCATGATCGACATTAAGGGCTGCTTAAGAATAAGCATGCACATCAAATTATCTTGACTCATTGAACCTGGGTCAAATTGGTGAGATTCCATAAACTTAAATTGTCGTTTTTGGAACCACTTTAGCCCCGATTGATTTGGTAAGTTTTTTTTAAGTCAGGTTTTGGACTTAAATCTCCACTTTTCTTAGCGCACTTTATGAAACGGGTCTCATGGTAACAGATGAACAAAGACAGGAAACTGAACTGAGTTCAGCGCAAAACTCAAACCCAGAACAGAAGATACATCTGTACCTTATAATTATATTCAAATCAGTCATCATATGCCTGTGTTAGTCAGTGGTTGATGCATGTTAGTGACAAAAATATGCTCACTGTTCTCTCTGGCGTCGATGGTCAAGTTGTACCAGGCTGCTGTTTCTCGATCCAAAAGGCTGGCCACATACACTGTCCCATTACTGGGATCAATTTTGAACATCTGTCGTGTGTCACTGCTCTTTAAAATGCTGTATCTGTTCAAGGAAAACAGTTGTTATTTGGAGTTATTTTTTTTCATATACTTCCCTTGTTTGTTACCATATGCGGATTTCAACCATGCACAAACAGCAGGTAAATCAAACAATCATGGACTGTCTGGCCAAGCACATAGTTGGTATGGCAAACATAATGTATTCTGTTCTGTAGATTCAGAATCTTTTAGTCTGTTTCTCCAGATTGCTCCAAATTTACAAACAACTGTACCAAACAACACATACAACTAGGGAAATAGGAAAACAGTGTCAAGTTCTTCGATCAGTTATGAATCATTTCAGTTATAATTACAACTTCAATATCTACTATAAAATAACTTTACAGAAGATTATATAGCAGCATTATTTTGATCCTCTGGTCTAACAGTATAAAACACAATTTGATTAGTGATTCTAAGCTACAGCATGTCAATATTTTGTAAACAGCTCCCTTTTATTTATTATTATTATTAGTAGTAGTAGTTTTTTCCCCCAAAGGTTTGGGGTTAAAAATGTTTTCAATTTTTCTTTCTTTTTTTTTCAATGGTTTTGGGGACTTTTTTTAACTAAAGTAGTGGGGCCAGTTTTACCTAGACACCATACTTGGTTCATATACTGTATTGTTGTCATCAAGCTGGACAACTTTTAAAATCACAGTCATTATCTCTGCCCAACAGGAACAGAATCCTCAGCTCTGTTTCACCCCTGGGTGTAAGGCCAATATGGATAAGGATTGAATACCTCAGTTACTCTTGGTGACTGAATTCTCAATAAGCAATCCTGGTGAAGAGATATCTGAGTCTCCTTGTCTTCAATTCTGAATTTCCTACAACAGCACAAATCTATGTTTATGGTTTTATCCATCCTTTTTATTGTATTTATCTATGTTGTATTTAACTCTTGTTCTAAATTATCTGATGTACTTATTATTAAATATGGTGAGACATAATTAATACATAATAGGTAATTTTATAAAAATGGTATCTTCCAATTTGTAGAAGCAGGAAATATGTGTATATAAGATTGCTGTCACTAGAAGCAAGCAGGACTAGTGAACGGATTGTTAAGGGTACTGTAAGTCGAACAAGGTTGTTGTAGCACTCTTTTAACACGGTACACTCTGGCACCAGTTGTGTTCTATTTATTAGACTTTTTATTAATAATCTTTGTTTTATTTATGCTCTTAATGTTATTTACTTGCACATTTTTGCACATATGTCTTAAATAAACACCTATTTGGATGCCAACATTGCTCCCGTGATTGCATTTCCATTTAATTTTTTCCTGTCAGAATCCCTGAATATCACTGGCAAAAGCAGTTATTGTGTCGCGTTGCTAAGTGGGCTTTGGGAAGTTGAGGGTTTTGTGATGTTTATGCCCATGACTTTTTTTATCTGGACATTGCAGTGCTGCCCCTTACGTATGCCACTGATTGAGCTAGAAGTCGACATGGACTGTTCAAAACAAACTAAGCAGTGTTTTGAAAGCACTATAGAGTCACCATGGAGTCACAGTGTTTATCCTCAGATGTAATGTCCTTCTAATCTGACTTTTAGGAGGTAATATGGGTCAAAATGAGAAAGGAGAGAAGGAAAAAAAATTACCTTATGGCATTGTTGGTTGTGTCAATGTCTTTAGCATAGACTGTACCAACTTGAGTGCCTGCTTGGGCACTCTCTAGAACTTTCCAATTATAAGGGGTTTCATAAAAGATGGGTGGTTCGTCCACATTTGTCACAGTGATTTTGAGTGTTGTCCTGTCATGAAACTCATATGCACTCATAAAACGTGTGTCTATGTTTTCATTGATGGCCTCTACAGCAATGACGAACCGCCTCTTGCTCTCATAATCCAGTGGCTACAGAGACAAGAGAACACTTATAAAAGACAAACATAAAACAGTTGTCCAGTGATTACCAGTGTTTATGGATTGAAATTCGAAAATTAACATTATGAATTAAATTATTAATTATGACTTAAAATATTTAACTAAAATATTAATTATTTCGTACAAATATAAATGTGTCTTGAATTTGTTTCTGAGAACATCATGCCCAACATTTGTTAACAACTGTCATGGATATCAGAAAAAATATATACTTGGATAAATGATGATGGTTACATATGCATATGTCTGTATTGTACTGTAAGACCTGAGCCAGTATGACAATCCCCTCTTGAGTGTCAGGGTCTGTCTGGATTGTGAAGGTGCTGCTTTCTTCAAGATCCTCTAAGCTGTAGTTCATTTTAGCGTTCAGACCAACATCACCATCATCTGCCATTATTCTTCCCAATGTGGTACCCACTGGTGCTGACTCTGATATAGCAAATGTGTACAAATCTAGACATAAAGAGGAAAATGGCAAAACACTTTCAATAACATTTATGTGCTTTGGCAACAGAAACAGGAAAAAAAACTACATAATGCAATAAATCACTGAATGCTGATAATAATGTAAAATGTCATTACTCACACACCCATATGCATTTTTGACATGGTGTGAATTTTCCATTGACCTCTGTTAATTTTATGTCATGCTAATTATATTTTATGTCCTCTAATTCTTTCCCTAACCTAACATTTCCCATCACAACATTCTAAGATGTTATTTAATGTTATTTATTAAGCTGTTTGTGTGGACCATTGGCTGCTCTACAAAGAAAGCATGAGTTAGCCCTACTTCTTTTAGTGCTCTTTACTGTTTAACAAAGATCAGATCAAAGATCTGATCCAGAAACTTGGCCAAAATTACCACAGAACTCATGCAGAAGTTCAGACAAACCACTGGGTCTTTTGGTTGGGAAGCTGCAGTGGCAGGGAGCTTTGGATAGGCTGCAATGGTGGGTTACTTTTAGGAATCTAGGAATACTGAAGTGACAGGAGCCACAGGGGAAGCTGTGGCCTGAGTGATTTTGGGGGTGGTATCTATGGTCATGACAAGAATCTCTGAGAAAAACACAACTTTGGGCATTGGCATTGGGAATGACAGCACCTTGTCCAGGACAGATATTGATGCAGAAAGTCCACAGATTCTGATTCTGTGGCCAGTGCAAGCATCTCAACTTAGAACCTCTGTTCCTCTTTTCATTATCCCAGACCTCTTTGATTGGAGCAGGTAGATAAAGGTACTGAGGGATTCTTTCATTCATCTGAGCTAAAACTGACTGAATATCACATCATGGCCTATATAATTACAATTTTTTGTGTTTCTGTCCAATTAAAAAGTACTGATCTAGTCCCACATAATCTTGTCACAAGTCACCCTGACCTGATCTGAAAATGCTCTATAATATTTTTTATAGAAAGTACTGCTTTATTGCATTACATATATGACATTATATGTTCATGAAAGTTTTTGGGGTTTAACATAATTCAACTGTTTGATTGACTGAAATATGTAATGGTCATGTTTTGGATTCTCACTGTGCTGGAAAGTAGGTCCATTGTCATTGACATCCATCAGGCTGATGGTCACGGTGGTTGTGGCACTGTAGCCTCCGGTGAGTCCGAGCATATCTTTCACTTGAACCACAACCAGATATGTCTCCCTGGCTTCTCTGTCCATATTAGGCCATGATGTCACAATTATACCTGTGTTGGAGAAAAATAAAAATAAACATTGAGCACAGATAGTATTTGGACATTTAAAGCTGCTGTAAATATTTTTTCCTGGAATATCACGCCTTCTATCTGACAGAGACCTGTTTTGATTTTAGCCTGTGTTTCACTGTCTTGCGTTTTGTTTTCAAGGACACTTACTTTGTTTTGTGTTCCTATGTTTTTGTACTTTCTTCTCGTTTCAGTTCCCTGTGCCACCCTGTTTGTTGCTATAGTTACCTCCATTAGTTTGCATAGTAATTCATTAGCTCCTCCCTCTCCTTGTTACCTTGTGTATATACAGTTCTACATGAAAGTTTTTGAACCGTTTAGAATTTTCTATATTTCCAAAAGATCATCAGATTTTCATGCAATACCTGAAAGTTGACAAAGAGAACCCAATCAAACAAATGAGATGAAAATAAATACTTTGTCATTTGTTTATTCAGGAAAATTATCTAATATTAAATATCAATGAGTGTCAAAAGTATGTGAATATCTAGGATTAGCAGTTAAATCTAGCGTAGCGTCAGTTCTGGCAGGTCACGTTAGTCAAGCTCGCATCAGCTGATCCCCATCAACCTATAGGAATACGACACCTATCTAAGCATTCATATATAAGGTCCCTCAGTATTATC